CAATGATGTGATGTCACATTGGTAGCTTGAAATAGATGATAGTGGAAGTATTTATGTCACAGAAATTGGCAAACACTAGAAAGAAGGTTTTTGTGCTGGAGAGCCAGTTGTTAAATATTTACCAGCTCACCACTGTTAAAAGGAGTCAAGATCCCCCTTACCTTACTCTCTACTACTTTTACTGTACTAGGAGATAAATTCCTTCAAACTGGTATAATACAATTGATTCCAATACAATAGTTTCTTCTATGAATTATGATATTCTAATCAAGTTACAAGAAAACTTGAGTATGTCCTCTGGTTAACATGATTAGAATTTTACTGTTCATCAATAAAATTCAAAGACATCCACATGCAAATGTGTTATTTATGGTAGAATTTGTTCTTCAAATGATTGATTTCCCCCATTTTTCTAATCGTATTATCAGTGACAATAAAAGACAGAGGTGAAGTGCACAGATCCTAGAAACACAAAAAGCAGCCTCAGACTCTAGTTCTGCAGTTTATTAGCTATGAGCTTCTATCTAGCAACCTGTCAAATGAGGGTTAAATGCAAATGCACATGAAGTGTTTTTTATTGCGCTTTTATTATTCCTCAGTAGATATTGAGTAGCTACCTTGGGACATTATTGTCCACGTTCGTTGCCTTTATCTGTAGTTTCCCTAACTCTCCCAACACACACATACACGTATAAAACTCTTGCCCATGTACAACCTATAGACTTGATATAATGGGCCTGTGCTCAATTTAAATCTTCAAGTTAGGATCTCAAACATATACTTAAAAATTTTTTTTTAAATTTCATTTTCATTTGATTTCATGTTTATATTCAACAAATATTGGTTGAACAGCTCCTTGTTTAGCACAATTGGAGGATAAAGCTGTACATAGCATAAGGATCAGACATTTCTAATTTTTCAAAAGAATAAAAAAATTATTTATCATTTCTTTTCAAAAACACTTTATAAATAATTGTACCATTTCGGCACTCAAATTATATGCATTCCAATTTGGGTTGCATAACCAACCCATTGCATTATATGCATTCCAAATTGGGTTGCTTGTGTCCAATTTGGACACAAGGAGAGCAGCAAGTGTCATGGGACAATAGAGCAGGCAGTGGTCACATGAGGCAAATTGGGTGATGTCTCAAAAAAAGTACGTATAGTTTTCCTTTCTACAAATATACATACTTATAGAACACTGACTAAAATTGAAGTCAATAAAAGAAAGAAAGAAAATGTCATAGTCAGGAAGCATAATTTGGATATAAGAAATAGTTCTGATTGTTTCATAAGTGTTACTGACTCAATTACATCTCTAGCAAATACCTCTCAGAAGTGGGAGTTTCTTCTTTCCTGTTCCTAGAATCAATCCATCTCTACAGTGAGTTAGTGTTGATTCCTTTTTCTTTTTCTTTCTTTCTTTTTTTTTTATGCCACTAAAGCACTTTAGTCTTCTGTTCTTGACCCTGGGGATTTTTTTATTCATGGTCTCTGCCTTATCTCTTTTTTAAAATGTTTTTTATTTCTGAGAGAAAGAGAGACAGCGTGAGCAGGGGAGGGTCAGAGACAGAGGGAGATACAGAATCTGAAACAGGCTCCAGGCTCTGAGCTGGCTGTCAGCACAGAGCCCGACACAGGACTCCAACCCATGAACTGTGAGATCACAACCTGAGCTGAAGTCGGATGCTCAACTGACTGAGCCACCCAAGCACCCTTGGCTTATCTATCTCTTTCTCTCCATTTTTGTATACATTACTGGTTTCTTTGTTTGTTTGTTTTTGAGATATAATTGACATATAACACTATTCATTTTAGGTGTACAATATAATTATTTGATATATGTATATAACGTGAAATGATAACCACAATAAATTTAGTTAACATTTATCACCACACAGTTACAATTTTTTTTCTTGAGATGAGGACTTTTAAGCTTTAGTCTCTTGGCAATTTTTAAATATACAATACAGTATTATTACATATAGTCACCATGATGTACATTATATCCCCAGGACTTATTTGTCTTCCGACTGGACTGGAAGTTTGTACCTTTTGACCATACGTCCTTATTTTGCCTACCCTCTCACTCCTTGCCTCTGACAACCATTAATCTGTTCTCTGTATTTATAAAGTTCAACTTTTTTTTGGATTCCACACATAAATGATATCATGCATTATTTGTCTTTCTCTGCCTGACTTATTTTTTTCAATGTTTATTTATTATTGAGAGACACAGACAGAGCACGAGTTGGGGAGTGGCAGAGAGAGAGGGAGACACAGACTCTGAAGTAGGCTTTAGGCTCTAAGCTGTGAGCCCAGAGCCTGACATGGGGCTCGAAGTCACGAACTGTGAGATCTTGACCAGAGCCAAAGTCGGTCACTTAACCAACTGAACCACCCAGGTACCCCTACTTATTTATTTTAATAGCATAATATCCCTAAGGTCCATCCATGGTGTAGATAGCAGGATTTTCTTCTTTTTATAGAACTGAATATTTTATTATGTACACACAAACATATACCCCACATTTTGTTTATCCATTCATTAATCCATGGACCCTTTTGTTGCTTCTCCATTTTGGCTTTTGTAAATATGCTGCAATGAACATGGAGGTGCAGATATCTTTCCAAGATAATGTTTTTATTTCCTTTAGGTAAATACCTAGAGGCAGAATTGGTGGATCATATGGTAGTATTATTTTTAATTTTTTGAGGAAACTTTATACTGTTTCCCATGCTGGATGCACTACCAATTTACATTCCCACCAACAATGCACAAAAGTTTACTTTTCTCTACATCTACCTAACATTTGTTATTTCTTGTCTTTTTGATAATAACTATTTTAACAGATGTGAGGTGAAACTTCATTGTGATTTTGACCTTGCATTTCCCTGATGATTAGTGATGAGCTTTTTCATGAACCTGTTGGCTATTTGTACATGTTCTTTTGGAAAAACATTTGTTCAGTTCCACTGCCCATTTTTAATTAGACTGTTTTTCTTTCTTTCTTTCTTTCTTTCTTTCTTTCTTTCTTTCTTTCTTTCTTTTTCTTTCTTTCTTTCTTCTTTCTCTTCTTTTCTCCTCCTCCTTTCTTCTTCTTCTTTTGCTTCTGCTTCTGCTATTGAATTGTATGCATTTTTTAAAAATATGTTTAATGTTAACTCCTTATCAGATATATGATATTCTCATTCTATAGGTTACCTTTTCACTTTGTTGATAGTATCCTTTACTGTACAGAAGGTTTTTTAGTTTGATGAATTGCCACGTTTATTTTTGTTTTTGTTGCTAAATCTAAAATAGTTATTGCCAAGATCAATGTCAAGGAGCTTACCCCAATATTTTCTTCTTGGAGTTTTATGGCTCAGGCCTTATGTTCAAGTCTTTAATCCATTTTTGTGTATGGCATAAGATAGGTGCCCATTTTCATTCTTTGGGTTGTGGATATCCAGTTTTCCTAATATCATATATTAAAGAGACTATCCATTCCCTGTTTTTGTTGTTTTTTTTTTTTTTTTTTTTGGTTTGTCTGTTTTTTAAGAGTAATAAATGTTTATTCAGAAATGGGTAAGAAACACATAGTCTCCTTCCTTATTGCCTCTTCCTCTCCTTTTGAACAAAAGAAACACAGATGGGGAATGTAGGAGAGTGGGAGCGGAGAGGGGACACACGGGTTGGCTCACTACATTCTCTTCCCTGTTTCCATGATGACATCTCGTTGAACAGAGGAGAAAACCAGGCTCCAGCCCCTGGTGTAGCTTATGGCTATCCAGAGGACAATGTCCACATGGCCAGGCGGCTGCGGCTGGGCTCGATGAAGCTCTGTAACAACGAGAGTAGCCCAGCATGGGGATAGGAGGGAGCAGGGGAGGATAAAGCCATGCAGGTAACATGTTTATCATTCCTCCTTCAGAGTCCAAGCAGTGATCTAGCTGTCCCCAGTACCTGAGTGACCTAGCACCACCTTGTGGGTGCTTTCTCTGGCCAAGAGAGGGAAAGTATAGGAGGAATGTCTTTCAGGTGAAGAGAACTAAATCTGTACCCATTCAAAGGGGAAGAAGGGGGGAAAAAAGCATTTTTTAAAAAGAACTGAAAAGTAGAACACCATTAGGTACATTCCTTGAATTTCCCAGACCTGGAGAACTGAGCTGGGCTCAAATCCTGCGTATTTTCTGCTTCCCAGATTTTTCTTTTTTTTTTTTTTTTTTAATTTTTAATGTTTTTTCATTTATTTCTGAGAGAGAGAGACAGAGAGAGAGAGAGAGAGAGAGACAGTATGAGCACGGGAAGGTCAGAGAGAGAGACACAGAATCCAAGCAGGCTTCAGGCTCTGAGATGTCAGCAAAGTGCCTGACACAGGACTCGAACCCACGAACCGTGAGATCATGCCCTGCGCCGAAGTCAGACACTTAACTGACTGAGCCACCAAGGTGCCCCTTCCCAGATTTAATTCTGTGGAATGATGGGTTTCTAGGTTTTTCTTCTTTGCTGGGCTAGTCCAAGCGTGTCATGAGAGGCTCTTAGTACCTTAAGTCCCTTTTACTTTTAGGCTTGTGCCTGTCACAGTATTTACTACTGGCTTTGTAGAGCTTTCTGAATCCAGCTCTCCAACTCATTCCAGCTCTGCCAGCCTGGATTCCCATAACATGGCCTCCCCCCACCCCCCGCCCCCCCTAAAAAAAAAAAGGCAAAAGATTGAGAATGATACTGGAGCAGAGACATTGGTATTCAGGGTCTGTTCCTGGGTTCTATGAGCCCTATGTCCAAATATACACTTCAGAACATTTGGGCTTCAACATAAGAGTTTTGGGAAATACAGTTCAGTCCATAGCACTACCCTAGGCTAGAATGAGTAAACTGAGGATGGGGTTACCAATACCCAGATAGGATAGTATTGACTACTAGGAATTGGGGCTATGGATAGAGGGACAGAGCTGACCTCTGTCTCATAACCCTATATGCAGGGAGTCATGAAAATCAACAGTTCAATTCTTACTTTCCTCCTACTTTGAGATCTCTTGCTTGTGCCTTCCATTGTTTGAACTCAACCAAAATCAAGGAAAGAAACCAACTGGGCAGTCCATACAGATCAGCTTTCTAAGGTACAAAGAAGGGTGGAGAATGTGAAAAATGGGTCAGGGCAGCCAGAGATATACAGCACGTCTCTATACCAAGATGCTATCAAGAAGAGAGAAGGAAAAGGGGGAAAAAAGCAAAAACCCTAAAAGACAAAGCATTACTTAAAAGAAACTTACCTCCTCAGTAAAATGAAATCAGTAATGCCTCTGGGATTGTTAGATGGATTGAGGTAAACATAGCCAGCATTCAGAGCTGACCAGCACAAAGTCAGTACTCAGTAATCTCAGCTTCCAATATTATTGAGAAGTAAGCAGAACAATTTTGGAAGCCCAGACTTCTTTAAACAGCCAAGGAGTAGATAATTATTTTTTTAAAGCTCTGCAAAGCTCTGTGGGTAGTTTTGAATACTTACATTTCGAAAATCTGCTTCCTATTGTGAGGATTAAACCAATATAATTTCTGTTAAAGGAGGCAAGGCTGCCTTCTCTGGCATGCATAAAAACTAAAAGAAACTTGACATTGACATCTTGATGCAGAAGAAGGCATCCAGGTAACTGGTTTCAAATCAGAAGATTAATACATTTCCAAATGTAAAAATACCCTGCAATATTTAGGTGGTATTCTTATTTTTATTGGCTTTTTTCAATTGAAAAATATAATTGCTGGTATGAGAAATGTTTATTGAATCTAATTCACAAGTTGGCTGTGAAGTTTAAATGAGATAATACATGTGAAAGGTAAGTTCTAAGTAAATGCTAGTCAAATGTTACAGTCTTACTCAGAACCAGATATGAATTCAATCAGATTCCAGATGGTGCTGTAGAACACCAATTTAAATATATTTACTGATTCCCATCAAGTATCTTTGAATCTTTATAAAACTACTTCAAATGGGGTCAGGACATTCCTTCTATAAAGCTTCCCTTCCAGTTCTCTTTTTTAGCATTCTGCTCTCCCCCTGAGGGTTCCCAAGTCCTTTGGCCTCTCCTTTTTCTGGTCAGGCCAGAGAGACCCATTTACCCTTAAAAGACCTGGGTCCTTCACAGATGTTCTTCAGAGTGAAGCAGCTATGGTATAATGTCTCCTTATTATTAATTTTTATTACTTTATTTGTTTCCACCAGCTCTGTTGAGGTATAAGTGACAAATAAAACCTGTATATACTTAAAGTGTACAATGGGATATACATATACATTATAAATGGTTATCACAATCAAGTTACTATACACACATTCATCACCTCACACAGTTACGTTTTGTTGTGGTGGTGGTGGTGGTGGTGTGGTGAGAAAACTTAAGATCAAGTCTCTTAGGAAATTTCAAGTATACAATAAAGTACTATTTTTTAAAATATTTGTTGATTTTGAGAGAGAGTGAGAGTATGCTTATGAGTGAGGGAGGGGCAGAGAGAGAGAGAGAGAGAGAGAGAGAGAGAGAATCAAAAGCAGGCTTCACACTGTCAGCACAGAGCCGGACTTGGGGCTCAAACTCACAAACCATGAGATACGGCCTGAGCCGAAATCAAGAGTGTTGCTTAACCGACTGAGCCATGCAGGCACCGCTACAATAAAGTACTATTAACTGTAATCACCATGCTGTATATTGGATTCCCTGAACATATTCATCTTGTAACTGAATGTTTTAGCTCTCCTGCTAATATTGTCTTCTGTAATGCTAAACCTCTTGATTCTGTTATTTTATAAAAAGACCTCAACCTTATGAAGCATAAGTGAAGATTATTTTCAATTACTGTTTAGCTCTGATAGTATAATTGTGGATTAGGGAAAATGGCATTTTGATATCACCTCAATTTTTTGGCCGTTTCTCTTGTTCTTTCTTTAAAGTTATTAAAGAGAATCTCAAATATATTTTTTAAAAAGTAGAAACGAGAGTATGTCTATCCATGTATGCATCATCCATCTTCAGCTCGTAAGCAGACTTGTTTTACATATAACCCCCACCTATAACTCCTGCTCTTACATAGTGTATTTTGTAATAAATCCTAGATACCATATCATTTCATCTGCAAATATTTTAGTATGTGTCATAAAATTGCAAGAATTATTTTTTCAACATAACTTATTACAACTAAAAAAAATTAACAGCAGGGCGCCTAGGTGGCTCAGTCGGTTAGGCATCTGTCTTTGGCTCAGGTCATTATCTCACGGTTCGTAGGTTCTCGTGGGTTCGAGCCCCGCGTCAGGCTCTGTTGACAGCTAGCTCAGAACCTGGAGCCTGCTTTGGATTCTGTGTCTCCCTCCCTCTCTGACCCTCCCCTGCTCACGCTGCCTCTTGCTCTCTTTCCAAAAAGAAAAAAAAAATTAACAGCAAATTTTTAAAATTATAATTCAAAGCTTCCAAAGCTAGTTAATAGGTATATGTGAGTATGTGTGTGTACTCATGTATTCAAATTAGTACCTAATATAAGGTCCAAGGTGTTAGTTTCTCAGAGCTGCTGTAACAAAACTGGATGGCTTAAAACAATAGAAATGTATTCTCACATATCTGGAGGCTAGAAATCGGAATCAATGGATTGACAGGGTTATGACCCTTCTGAAAACTGTAGAAGAAGAAATACTGTCCTATTTACCCTTGATTCCTAAGCATCTGACGATAGATAGCTGGGTTTTATATTTAGTGTTTTTCTTTCCATTCCCCCTCCACCCCCTCCATAAGCCCTCTTTAAACTCTTCCCATGGACTTTTCTCAATTTGTTACAACGGCCATCAAGAACCAAAACGCTAGACTGTCTTTCTTTGAACACGCTGTTTGTTTTTATATAACAATGTTACCGTTTTCGCTCCAAATTTCCTTACCCCGTAAACTCCGTTACGGACCAGAGAAGCAAAAAGACATTTTCAGTCCTATGGACGATGAACTTTATGCAAGTTTCCTTGCAGATTTTACCACATTATGCAGTCAAGTAATTTTTGGTCACTTCTGTAGTTTCAATTTCTCAATACTCTGAATCAACTGTGTACCGCAGCGCCTCAATAAACGCCTAAATCAAATTTGTTATTACATGAATTACAAAGCTATACTAAAGCACAATAGAACTAATTTCCCCCAATTAACAGCAAAACTAGTAGGCTTTTGTGACGAGTCAGCGGGTTGCATCCTGCGCTGCCTTTGGCTAACCCTAGGGCGCCAACTGAGAAAGTCTATTGGGCACCAAAAGTACAAAGTGGTGGCTGTAAAGGGACCCGCCCAGACTTATCCTAAGTCTCGGATTTCCAGAATTATGAGTTCCGCGTAACAGCCAGAAACACCTTTTGTCCTCGGGAATGTCCGTCAGTAGGCTTTCAGGTGAGAAAACAGCGCCCCCAGGGTGTACGCATCGCTGCACGGTACCCAATACACCGTAACTTCGGCGATAGAAAGGAAGACTCAAGCCGGGGACATCCGGGCTGTGGGAGACGTAGCGACGTGCTGACGTTATCACGTTTCCCTTGCACCGACCCCCCCCCTTGCCCCCCGGCTTCCCCGCCCCTCTCCGCACTGTGACGGTCCCAGGGAGGAACGAAGCGTAAACAGCGCAGGGCATTTCGGGAGCGGGATTGTTTCAAGCAGGAAGCAGGCTCCATTTTAGCGCCGCCCGCCGTCGCCATCTGTTTCCCTTCCCTCCCCCTACCCCGTCCCGTCCCTAAGCCGCAACGGGAAGGGTAGGCCTAGGGCGCCAGAGGCTGGAGTGAAAGGAGAAAAGGGAGAAAGGGAAGAAGCGAAGAGAAAAAGGGTGAGTTGAGAAAGGTGAGCGGTAGGCCAAGGTGCGAAGCGCGCAGCCCAGCGGACGGACTGACGGACGTGCCCGTGCTACGGCTGCCGCGGCTGCGGCGCCCGCGCGAGTCGCGTCGAAGCGGCGGCGGCGGCGGAAACAGGAGGGGAGCAATGGCGGCCGACAGCCGGGAGGAGAAAGGTTAGTGCGGAGAAAGGTGACGGGCGGAGGCGACGCTCGGGAGTGGGTCGATGGAGCCGTGGTCGTCGTTGCGGGGTGGGGGTTGGGGAGGTTAGCCTGCCCCGCGCGGAGCCGATCCATCCCAACCGAGACACTTGGACCCGCTGGAAGAGACTAGGCCTGCTCTTGCGTCCTCGGTCTCCGTACGACCTAGCACTTCATCTCTCCTGGGTTTGTTTTGTTTTTGTTTTTGATCTTAATTCTTTTTTTTTTTTTTTCCCGTTCTGCAGTCCTGGGCGCGGCTAAGAGGGCCTGTTCTTAGTGGCAGGCCCTTGGGTTTATTTCCTGGTAGGATTATGCGGATGTAATGCGTATTTTCAGAACGACCCTTTCTTTTAGGCAAAATTTCGAAAATCCTTAATGCCACAATCAAAGCTGGTAGTCTAGTAAGTGAGCATATTTAAGAAGTGATACAGGTGGGTTAGTAATTTCGAGAAATATCTACAAGTAATTTGCGTCTCTTCCTGTTAACTATTAGGCAAAGTGACAAGAATTGCCCCTCTGGTTCCTCGAACACTTATTGTGGAAATCATGATGTTTGAAGCGATAATTGTATGACTTAGACATAGCAAAGAGAAAAAAAATCCTAGTCACTGTTTTGCTGGAAACACGTTGTGTTAGCTCCCAGAAGGTACAACCAGGAACAAATGGGTGTAATTTATAGAGAGCTGGAGGAATAATACAGTTCCAGCAAACATAGGAAAAACTGATGTTGGTAGAAAGGGATGTCACGTCTTTTGAAATACCGACCTACCAGGTGCTACAGATGTTTATGTATATCCTGGATCAATACCTGTCTGGAGAGTGGTCTAGTTTAGATGCTGCTTTTAGAGTCTTTTCTAACCTTAAGATTATCATGATAGTTTTGGGAAGGTTCTAGTTAATAAAAATATGGCGCTGCTGCTACCCATATCTCACAGATCTACTCTTCTGTGAGGCTGATCAACTTAGGGTGGGGATTTGTTAAATGTATTCTAGAGTCAGGTTACATTAGGCCCTGATGTCTCTAATTTTTTTCCTTAAGAGAAAGACCAGTCTTCATGCTTCATTAAGCTTCTTAGG